CCATGATTAAATTATAAGTTACTAAAAATATATACATATAACCCTAGCAGAAACGTTCACAAACTGTGTTCATAAACCATCTACATAAAACAAATGGTGTGGTATTGTTCTTTTATTGTTCAATTGTGAAGGAGAAAATTAAACTGAATACTAATCTTCTTATCTGTCTCCCAGAGTATGTATCACAGGAAAGGCAATGAAAATGCTAATTATTCCTCTGATACCTCACCCAGGTTGATTCCTTATTTACCTTGGTAAACAAAGCACCTAGTGCAAACTCAATAAATGTTGAATCAATGAATAAAATTTATCCTTGTCCTTCTATAAGAATCAATATTTCCTACTCTTTGTATCCCTTTTGGCAATCCTAATAAAAAGTATTCAAGACAAATATGCATATGTGGCTTGTAGGGGGAAAATCTCATTACTTTAAAGCTCTGTATATCATAAAATTTTACAAAATTGTGCCAATTAGCAACAAGGAGGAGGAATCAGAGGAAAGGATGCTGCCTTGGGAAAGTAAAATATTAAAGAAACAAAATTCAACATTGCTTGGTTTCTAACATACTGGGTTAACCAGTATGTCAACCATGTAGAAAGCAGTTTAAACCACTGTTCATAGAATGCATAACTAAATGTCTGTTTACTATGCAGAGGGAAGAAACATTTTAGAAGATGTCTTTCCCTACAAATTCACTCACCAAAAAACAATTTTTTAAACTAGAGTTAAATCACTTTTACTTAAAAGTAAACTAACTTGGGTAATTCTCCACAATTATACAATTGTTCATTTCATAAATAAATTTGCCAGTAACATTTGCCTGGAGACAGCATCCTGAAACAAGAAAATATGCTCTATCAATCAAGCCAGGGTCCATATGTTATTCATCTGGATGGGTTAGCTTTTAGTTAACTTTTTAATTAACATTCACTTCAAACAGCAGATGGACAGACATCAAAGTGAACAGCCTACTAAACAACGGTATTTGGATGACATGTCATTATCTCTATTTGAATTAAGCAATTTGACATGAATAGGTGCAAATGAGCAAATTAGCATGCCATGACTTAAAAACCAGCTCTATGCATCATTATATTATGGCTTGGATCTTAAATGTCCCTCTAAGGCCCACATGCTGAAAGCTTGGTCCCCGGCCTGTGGCGCTACTGGGAGGTTGTAGCACACCTTTGGTGCAGGTGAAGCCCAGCAGAAGGTCATAGGTTATGGCTGGGAGTGATGCCCTTGAAGAAGATATTAGGACCCTAACTCTTTGTTCCTCCTCTCTTTGCTTCTTTGCTGCTCCTTTATGAAGCAGCTTTGCTCTTTCACTGTCGTGATGTCTCACCAAAGGCCCAGAATCAGTGGAGCCAAGAAACCATTAACTGAAGCCTCTGAAACCATAAGCCAAAATAAATCTTTCTCCCTGTTTACCTGGTTTCTTCAGGTATTTTGTCATAGCAATCAACAACTTACTAGCACATATTTTGATTCTGGCAAAACTCTCAAATTTTATCATTTTTCTACTTGTGTTACTCATCAGTCATCAGCTGCCTAAGGCTTAATTCACTTGGTTGCTTGTAGAAAGGAGGAATTCCTGTCATAGCACCAAGCAAGTTACCCCAGCTGATATATCACCCTGACCCTGGAAAAGTCAATGCCCTTCATATGCAGGAAACACTAATGTATTATTTAAAAAACTGTTGGAAGAAACCAGTAAATTGCCTGTCAGTGCTTCCTGATGGGAAGATGGGAAAGTCACCTGGCTCACAGTCAGTTAATGATCATATTCTAGTGAACTAAGCTATTATTATATCACATTGGTGAAATAAATACCAATGGGTGCCATTTTCTAAAACCATAAAAAAGTGTTGCCATTGGCATCTTTATGCCAGTTCCTAAGCTAGAAGAGTGAAATCATAGAATGGTGGGCTCAGACCAGATCATCACCCACTGATGTACATTCTAGGAAGGTTATAGCAACTTCCCTTGGGATTTCCCTGACTACAAAAGAGCTTTTGACTTTCAAATTACCTTGACTTCCCCTTAGAAATATATATTCTATTTCTGATCCAGACATGAGAACTACTCAAGGCTTTGAGACTAGAACCTAGGAACGTGGATTTCAGTAAGTTCCCAAGTGTCTACAATACTCGTTGCAAGAATAGGCTGACTTAAGAGTATTTCAACCCACAGAATGATTCCGGTACTGTATGCAAGTTTCACAAAGCCAGAGCCCATGCATCACCTTCCACACTCTCTGTCATTCGAGCCTGAAACATCAGTGCCCTGTCCAGCTCACCTGAAACCCCACCCTGCCCTTCAATTTGGCTTCAACCAACCCTCCACCAAGAAGACACCAACTTCCTCATTTCTCTGGAGGCAATTAGAAACCTGACTCCAACCACCAGTTTATTTTTTGAAGGATCACATTATCACATACTGTTCCTTTCTTTTCTCTTGATTTTTTATAAAGAAATAAAGCATTTGTTCAAGTATAAGAGCCTGGAAGTAATGTGCATTGTATTAAACATAATTCCCTTTCTTTCTTCCTCTTACAGTATTCCCTGAGCTACCAAATGAGGGTTATTACACAATGCAGATTATCTCTCCGTGGCATACAAGAAAAGAAACAGAGCAAAATGAGTTGTGAAGGAAAAACATACAAATTTTCTCCGAGTACGGGGGTAAATGCCTTTGGAGTCTTCAACAGTAAAATTTCAGAATTACTGATGAAAATTAAATTTAAAAAAACATAAAGTGTTTTATCCAGCATCCCTTGCAGAGCTAATGCTCCCTAAGTCCTTAACATTAGACAAAGTTGATGTGTACATATCCCCAAAGCTGGAAAAGTCCTTTGAATTATCGTGTTCAAAACTGGTTTTCTATGAAGGAGAAAAAACAAAGCCTAAGAGTTAAGAATCTTATCCAGAGCCAAAAAAAGCACCAATGTTTTTAAAAGCACAATCCAGTATTCTTTCACCACTCCATACATTTGCTCACATTCCTGACACGTGGGAGGAAAAAAGCTACAAGGCTCAGAATGCACACCAGTCATCTCAAAGGTATGGTTTTTACCTAATCAGACCCGCAGAGTAAATGACAGAATGGGAGGCTTTAGGCTACCAAGATGGAGCCTGTTATAGGAATTCAAGGATCTCAGAGCCAATTACTTCCTTTTTCTGTGGTGGTGGTGGGGCATTTGTCTTCCTCTTGGGTAGTTTCTTTTGTTTCTCTTTTATTCAACTACCTGACGCACAACTACTAAGCAATATTTGGGGTTTTCTCTGGTGAGAATAACCTATAAACATAAAGGCACTGAAAAGATTTATGTCTACCTACTTAAGGTGAGTTGGCTGGAAGGGAATCCAAGGATAAGCTACTCCTTTTGTTAGACAGCTTAACTGATTTCCACATATTAACTGATTTCTGTTATTTATATGAAAAAAAACAATTGATCACTATTATTTTTTAAATTTTGAAGCCGCACCCCCACTGTTATGGCACCAGGGACCAAACTCACAACTTTGCATTTGCTGGGCAGGCACTTATGCCACTGAGCTAAATCCCCAGCTGAAGCCTCTTTTTAAAGTATATTTTATACAATTCCTATATATGTAATCCTTAATGATCCTTCCCCCTTACCTGTTTATAAAACAGAATAATTAGAATATAGAACTCTCAGTGTTTATTAGACATGAGATTTTATTACAAATAATTTCTTAAAGTAAATAATAACACAATGATAGGGCTCTTTCTTCATACAGCCTCAAACGTTTTTTAGCCACATTGGCATTCTGTCCATGAAACAAGGGTATAGAGATGACTTCATTCTCCAGAATGAAGGATAATTGATCTTAACCTTCCTATCACTTTCCTTTAACTCAAAGCTAATGCAATTGAAGGCACAGATAAATAAAATCTCTGCAGGAAAAGAATGACAGTATGAAAGCCTACCTAAAAATTACCCCCAAAAAGCACAGTACAATATGTTTCAGGATTTCGAGTCATTAAACTCCTGCCTCACAGCTTAGATGGAAAGCTACCAATATTTTTTTTTTTGAAAGAAATTCAAACTTTAATGGACATACGGCTTTTCTTCTCTATTTTAGGTTAGTGGTGGTGGAGAAAGCCCACTATTAAAACCCCAACAATTACAAATGAAGCACTGTTTAAAGCAGATTATCCATTTATATTATATTAGTGATGCTCTTATTACCATGAGACTAAAATGTCTCAGCAAGTTTCTTATTGCCAACTGATTCTGATTCTCCACAAAAAACATATAAACTGGACAAGAGCGTTTTTCGTAACCTCATTTGACTTCCTGATGTAGCTTTTTCACTAAGACAGTTACCATGCTTATCTCTTGTTGCTTTCTTTTTTCTTTCCTCAGAGCTACTCACCATGCTGTGTTGGGGAGTGTGAACATCTTTGTAGCTTGACCTGGGAATTTTGCCGTACTTTTTGCAAATACAAGTCAATGATGGGGCAAGGGCAAAAGTTTTACCACAGTTTTCCAGGTCAGGGTCTAAAGGAAGGAGCCTGCGGACTGATATGTTAGATTCAACATTTCGCTTTCCAAAACAAGGTAATTACAGCAACTCCCAGGAGGCAAGGTGATCCTGAGACCTTACACCCAGCACACACACTTCCACCCAAGCCGTGTGCACACTTGTGAATGCTTGGGCGCTTATAATCATACCCCACACACACACACACACACATGCACATCAGCAAGCACCAAGTCTGTAGGAAGCCAGGGCTCTGTATTTTGCATACTAATCATCCCCTCTGCCAACCTTCACACAAAGCACACGGCCAATTTAAACTCAGGAGCTAATATACTTCACTGTAACACTGCAACAGCCACCGTCACACACTCCACAACACAAACCTGCATCTAGACAGCCACCGGTTCCCTCTGTCTCCAAGAGGCAGCGATGCCTCTCCGACCCGGCAGGCTCCGTGCACCCCGTGTTGTCACCCCTGTGCCACTCACCAGGTCTGCAGGCGCAGTAGCCCCAGTCCACCTGGCCCCGGGCGTTCGAATAGAAGCACCAGGGTCTGCTCGAACCGTCAGGACCCCAGCAAAAGTTGTGTCGCTGTCCTCTCAGTTGAGCCCAGCCGGTCGGAGGCGAACGCTCCAGGAAGGGTGGCACCTCCGCCCAGCGCAGACACGGGGCTCCCAGGTCTGTCACGTTGACCCGGAGCTGCCCGGCGGGGCACCCCCCGGGGTGCTGCCGCGGCGCGTGTCCAGCTTGGAGAGCGTGGGGGCGCAGGGCAGGGACCGCCCGCCGGGGACACAGGAGCGACGGAGGCGCCCGGTAGTTGGGGTCCTGGGGACCCGCCGGGGGCGGATGGCGGTGGCGGAGGCACAGCGGATAACTGAGGATCGGATCCACGCTGACCACTTCGGGGAGCGCCCCCAACAGCAGAGCCAGCAAGAAGCGAGCGAGCGTCATGGTGCCAGCGCCCGGGGTCTGGTCCGTGCCCCCAGCTCGGGGCTCGGGAGGGAGGCGGGCGGGGCGGGGCGGGGCGGGCGGCTGCGTCCTGCGACCCCGCTCCCGACCCCCTCCGCACCCGCGCGCCGCCCGCTGCCCGCCGCGCCCCCGCCCCGCGCGCCCCTCGCGGCCCGGGCGGGGATCCTGCGCTCCGCCGCCCGGGACAGAGGGCGCCCAGGCGGGCGGCGGCCGTGGACTCGAGCCCGGGCGTCCGCGGAGGCTGCGCTCCGGGAACTCTGCCCCCTCGCTGCGGAGCGGGCGCGCAGTGTCGCCGGAGCCTGACCCAGCCGTGCCCGCTGGGGGTCGCTCCGGGATGACCCTCGCCGAGGCGGCACCGCCACAGCTCGGCGTCGGGGGCTCCCCAGCCCGGCACGAGACCCGGCAGGCGGCTCTCCTCCACCCCGTCCGGCCGGAGGCTCCTTTGCTGGTTTGAAATTTTAGGAAAGTGCGTGAATGCAATTACATGCAGCTTCTCTTACTCCTAGGAGAAGAAGCATCAAAGCCCACGAGAATGTTAAAAAGTCATTTTCCTGAACTGTGAGCTCTTCAAGGACGAAACAAGGTCTCCAGCTTCAGATCCCAGTGCTTAACACCGCACCCCCCAAAACAGTGGCTGAACCAGAGAAAAGAATTCGAGACTCCACTTCCTGCCTCCCACTCTCCACCCGGTGCCCTGGACATGGCCAGTTGTTTAGTTATTATTGGGCTCGTGTGAGACTCTCTTATTACCAAATTTCCTCTCTAACCAGAGAAGATTTCATCCTCCCGGTCTCCATCCTATCCCATGCCTCTGACGCCTGCCTGGCTTTAGTAGGGCAAAGACTACAGTTAATTCTCCTTATTTGCTGCCCCAGAGTGGACTCTGCCTGTGGTCACTTTGCAGTCTCAATGGCTTGACTGTGGCCCTCCCGCACTTACCTCCACCAGTGCAAGAATCAGATTGATTCAAAGTTTACAGCATTAACTGGAACTAAATGTTTCAGGATTTCTCATCTTTCATTTGTTCGTGATTGTGCCTCTAAAGTTACACAAGAGAAAGAAGCCTGTAAAGAAGGCGGCATCTTACTCTGTCTTGATCATGTCTCATTATGTGCAAGGAATACTGTCCCATAACGCACCCTGAAAAAAACCTAAACAGAATTTAAATGTTACACATAGCTTTAAAATACCCACCTTTATTTAAATTTTGTTAAGCATCTTACTGGGAATGTTTCCCTCGTGTTACGCTTAATAAAATACTTGATTCTACTTCAGAGGCAATTGGGTAAAAGAATTGGCATTCTGAATCACATCTCCTTCAGGTTCACAGCCCCGCGTGTGACACGGCCCCCAATAAACAGTGGACAACCCAGAGAAAGGAGCTTGAGCTTTCCGCTCCCTGCCTCCCGCTCTCCACCTGGGGCCCTCCAATCATTATCTAAATGCTTTTCTTCAAGATGCTTTTACCTACGGTTTTGTGTTCTATGAACAGTTTCTCAAGCTGCGAAAGCACAGTTGAAACTGTAGAAGAGAGTGAGAGGCAAAGTACGTATCTAGGGTAACAGTTTCCCGATCCTAGTAGGTGACAGTGTTAGTGGAGTGACCCCTTTTCCCTTCAAACTATCTCTTCCACCATAGGCTGCACCTGCTGGCGTGGGGGAGGCTGGTTTGGAATTTAGGCTGCTTTGCGTGGACCGTGCTCCTCTCCGTTTGTTACGTGATTCTTGCAACCACTGATTCCCTTGCAGAGGGGGAACAAATGAGGAAGAAGTAAGATTGCCGGAACCGAGCTCCAGGGAAAAGCTGAGCCAAGGCCAGATCTGGCCTTTCCTCCAGCTATACTCAAAAAGATTCTCCAAACCTTCCTTACCTTTAACAGACTGTCAAGTGGAAATATAAAAGGCAGAGTTACCCACATCTGGATCTCATCATTTAAACTTTAAAACATCTTTATTAGAAACTAAAATGGCATTTATGCACTTGGACCACAGATTTTAAGGAACTCAACTTGAGTGTCTTTTATTTCACAGGCAAAATATAGCTTGAACAGATCAATTCTTTACATACTGTTCTCCCCTCCTGTTAATGTTTTCCTTGGGTCTCTTCTTTCATTCCTCCTCATTGATGCCAATGAGCATATGTTTAGGATTTCAAATCCTACACCAGTCTCTGACATGCACCCCTTCGTCACATCACATCACTTCACAGTGGGCTGGAGCTAGAAGTGTTGCAGGAAAAAAATCCTTTTGCCTAGATAACAAAGGCAAAGGGGAGGGAGAAGCAGCTCCTTGTGTAATTGTAAGAAGCCCACAGCTGGTTCTCTCTCTCTCTCTCTCTCTCTCTCTCTCTCTCTCTCTCTCTCTCTGCCTGCCTTTCCCTTCAGCAGCAGCAAAGTCACAGCGAAAAAATCAGAAAGAAACAGATGACGCCTTGCAGACTCTTCACCATGACTGAAAGTGCCCAAGCGACCACCATAATCCTTCTTTGTCATGTCCTAGTCCATCAAGCAAATTCATTGATTTGGAGATCAAGAATCCAGTTCCATTGCCCACTCTGCTGGAGCCAGAACCAGAATCAGAACCATAAGGGACTGAAGAAAAGACTCTCCCTTTCCACATCACAGGAGGGAGGGTGGGCAGTCTTGGAGGTGCATGTAGAGCCCCTTACCTCTGCATCCCTGCAGTTCCTGGGGAGACTGTTAAGAGCAGCCATTTGATCTAATGGTTTAGGGATCTATTTACTTCATATGCACATTGGACTGAATGGCTCCTGTGCAGTGTGATTTGGAAATGTACCCAAATACTTAAATTATTTTTACAGAATTCTGAACACCAGTATGCAAAATAATTTTTTGGAAAAGGGCTATTCACAATTTAGGTACTGCCTGTATTTGGGAAAGCTAAGAGCTTTTAGATATATGGCATAAAAGTAGTGTTTACTTTTATAATTCCTAGTGTGAAAAAATTTGTTAACACAGAGCACTGATATTTTACATCAAGAGGGAAAAGCATCAAATCTTAGGGCCTGTCTTGGGGTTTAAGGGAGATTCTGTAGCAGAAAATGCCGATCCCAGCCAGTATACTTTAGTTTCTTGTTTGCCCAAGTAATAGTTCCTGTTCTAGTTCAGGTTGCATCTTTCTCTTAGAATTTTGACCGGTTACTGGGATGTACATTGTATAAACCAATCCCCAATTGACAAGTCACTTTGCCTGTGTACTTTCTGCTTGTTTATCTCATACAAATCCTAAACCACCAGAGATCAGGGCCTGATATTCTAGGAATGATCTTGATTATTGCTCACTGGGGTAAATAAATCTGCCTCCAAATCCTGGGTGTCGTTTCGATGTTTCTGTTTGCTGTTGCATTGGCTGGGAAGCCTGACCAGGCTGATCACTTTGATAACAGTCATAGCCTTCTCAAAGGAGCAAGGACCTCTCCAGATCCTGACGGGAAGGTGCATCCTTGAGATTTATCGAGTCCCCTCAGAGGTCTGGAGGAGGATTCCTCACTCCCTACTTGAACAGTTCACATTGGACCCAAAAGAGAGAAAGATGCAACCTGTCTGTCTGTCTGTCTGTCTGTCTCCCTGCCTGCCTGACTCTGGTAAGACCACCAGGGAAAGACAGTCTGTCAGACTTTCTCAGTTTGAGCAGAAGAGCTTGATCAACTGTTGTTGGTAAGAGGTCTTGACAGTAAGGTAAAGTTTACATATCTCCCTTGTGTTATTATGTCTTTTCAGGCTTTTTGGACCATGGAGACATTGAGGACCAACAGGTACCACAGTGGCTTCCTGGGCTGTCAGCTTTATCTGTGGAGCTCAAGAGGAAGGCCAAATGTATACTTGACTCATTGGCTCCACAGTGTTCCTGAATTCTTTTTATCTCTGTTTTTCTTGTCATTTGAAAGTGAATTTGATAAAGCAAAACAAAATGTCTTTTCAGGTTGAATTTATATTCACCTAAATTTGAGTAACTTTTACAAAAAATTAGTTCTATACACTCCTATTCAGCATTACCCAAATTATATCTACTGGTACTAATAGGTGGAGGACCTATCATCTATCTGTCCATATGCATACCCTATGTGCGGGTACCCTTGGAATCAAATTGGTGCTCACCCCAGCTCTAGACTTAATCACCATGGAGCATTACATAGCACCCTACTTCCCTTTGCCAGAGACACACACACTGTGAAAGAGGGACAGTGTTGGTACTTACCTGGCCACTGTGAGCAGAAGTTGAGACAATGCATGTAAACCATTAAACGGGAGGCGCTGTAGCTGTCAGCTGTGCTTCAGTGAAATAGTTGTAGGAACTGCCATTGCATCCTTACCTGCTCAGACTAAGCCACTCTGTGGAAACCTCCCTCAGTTCAACAGAGTCATCCACGTTTCTCTCCCAACTATGCTTTAGTTAATCCTCCCCTCAGTTCTGCTCACTTAAGTTGTTACGTTCTCTTGGTCTTCTTCTGAGTTTTACCCTTAAAAGTCAATTCAGTGATACCCATAAGTATTGCAAGTAAAATGTTTTTCCTGAGGACTTCGCCTCATCTTGAGGAGCGATTCTAAATTCCTCAGTCGTATGATTGCAAGTGGGCTACATATGAAAAGAATAAAGAGATGGAAAGAAAAGCAGCACCTACACCTCTTGCCAGGATTGTTCAAAACACAGAATCTCCATGTTGAAAAGGACCTTGAGTCCAACTTCCTGTCAAATGCAGGAATCCTTTCCAGAACTTTCTGACAAGTGGATCTGCACCTAGATCTTGAAAATTAATTGTGAAGAAATGCCTAATAGAAAGCCTGCACACTCTTTCTCTAGAAGCTCAAATTGTCTGAAAAATATTCCTTTTTTTCAGCCCCAAAAGTTGCCTCCAGGTAGAAACCTACTTTATCCAGCAGTGATTCTGGTTCCATCCTCCTATTGTTTGAGAAGGTAGGAAGTGGGAGATCACAAGTGTGAAATCCAGGAGACCTGGGTTCCAACTCTGTTAAATTATTTATTGGATTTTTGGCCTCCAAATCTATGCTTCTCTCTATCCTGAAGAAATGTG